ATGTGTCCAAATGATGTTGTAATTGGTATGTGTCAGAATGATGTTGTAATTGGTATGTGTCCAAATGATGTTGTAATTGGTATGTGTCCAAATGATGTTGTAATTGGTATGTGTCCAAATGATGTTGTAATTGGTATGTGTCCAAATGATGTTGTAATTGGTATGTGTCAGAATGATGTTGTAATTGGTATGTGTCCAAATGATGTTGTAATTGGTATGTGTCCAAATGATGTTGTAATTGGTATGTGTCAGAATGATGTTGTAATTGGTATGTGTCCAAATGATGTTGTAATTGGTATGTGTCAGAATGATGTTGTAATTGGTATGTGTCCAAATGATGTTGTAATTGGTATGTGTCCAAATGATGTTGTAATTGGTATGTGTCCAAATGATGTTGTAATTGGTATGTGTCAGAATGATGTTGTAATTGGTATGTGTCCAAATGATGTTGTAATTGGTATGTGTCCAAATGATGTTGTAATTGGTATGTGTCAGAATGATGTTGTAATTGGTATGTATCCATGTGATGTTGTAATTGGTATGTGTCCAAATGATGTTGTAATTGGTATGTGTCCAAATGATGTTGTAATTGGTATGTGTCCAAATGATGTTGTAATTGGTATGTGTCAGAATGATGTTGTAATTGGTATGTGTCCAAATGATGTTGTAATTGGTATGTGTCAGAATGATGTTGTAATTGGTATGTGTCCAAATGATGTTGTAATTGGTATGTTTCAGAATGATGTTGTAATTGGTATGTGTCCAAATGATGTTGTAATTGGTATGTGTCCAAATGATGTTGTAATTGGTATGTGTCAGAATGATGTTGTAATTGGTATGTGTCCATGTGATGTTGTAATTGGTATGTGTCCAAATGATGTTGTAATTGGTATGTGTCCAAATGATGTTGTAATTCGTATGTGGCCAAATGATGTTGTAATTGGTATGTGTCAGAATGATGTTGTAATTGGTATGTGTCCAAATGATGTTGTAATTGGTATGTGTCCAAATGATGTTGTAATTGGTATGTGTCCAAATGATGTTGTAATTGGTATGTGTCCAAATGATGTTGTAATTGGTATGTGTCAGAATGATGTTGTAATTGGTATGTGTCCAAATGATGTTGTAATTGGTATGTGTCCAAATGATGTTGTAATTGGTATGTGTCAGAATGATGTTGTAATTGGTATGTGTCCAAATGATGTTGTAATTGGTATGTGTCAGAATGATGTTGTAATTGGTATGTGTCCAAATGATGTTGTAATTGGTATGTGTCCAAATGATGTTGTAATTGGTATGTGTCCAAATGATGTTGTAATTGGTATGTGTCAGAATGATGTTGTAATTGGTATGTGTCCAAATGATGTTGTAATTGGTATGTGTCCAAATGATGTTGTAATTGGTATGTGTCAGAATGATGTTGTAATTGGTATGTGTCCATGTGATGTTGTAATTGGTATGTGTCAGAATGATGTTGTAATTGGTATGTGTCCATGTGATGTTGTAATTGATATGTGTCCAAATGATGTTGTAATTGGTATGTGTCCAAATGATGTTGTAATTGGTATGTGTCCAAATGATGTTGTAATTGGTATGTGTCAGAATGATGTTGTAATTGGTATGTGTCCAAATGATGTTGTAATTGGTATGTGTCCAAATGATGTTGTAATTGGTATGTGTCCAAATGATGTTGTAATTGGTATGTGTCCAAATGATGTTGTAATTGGTATGTGTCCAAATGATGTTGTAATTGGTATGTGTCCAAATGATGTTGTAATTGGTATGTGTCAGAATGATGTTGTAATTGGTATGTGTCCAAATGATGTTGCAATTGGTATTTGTCCAAATGATGTTGTAATTGGTATGTGTCAGAATGATGTTGTAATTGGTATGTGTCCATGTGATGTTGTAATTGGTATGTGTCCAAATGATGTTGTAATTGGTATGTGTCCAAATGATGTTGTAATTGGTATGTGTCCAAATGATGTTGTAATTGGTATGTGTCAGAATGATGTTGTAATTGGTATGTGTCCAAATGATGTTGTAATTGGTATGTGTCCAAATGATGTTGTAATTGGTATGTGTCCAAATGATGTTGTAATTGGTATGTGTCCAAATGATGTTGTAATTGGTATGTGTCAGAATGATGTTGTAATTGGTATGTGTCCAAATGATGTTGTAATTGGTATGTGTCCAAATGATGTTGTAATTGGTATGTGTCAGAATGATGTTGTAATTGGTATGTGTCCAAATGATGTTGTAATTGGTATGTGTCAGAATGATGTTGTAATTGGTATGTGTCCAAATGATGTTGTAATTGGTATGTGTCCAAATGATGTTGTAATTGGTATGTGTCCAAATGATGTTGTAATTGGTATGTGTCAGAATGATGTTGTAATTGGTATGTGTCCAAATGATGTTGTAATTGGTATGTGTCCAAATGATGTTGTAATTGGTATGTGTCAGAATGATGTTGTAATTGGTATGTGTCCATGTGATGTTGTAATTGGTATGTGTCAGAATGATGTTGTAATTGGTATGTGTCCATGTGATGTTGTAATTGGTATGTGTCCAAATGATGTTGTAATTGGTATGTGTCCAAATGATGTTGTAATTGGTATGTGTCCAAATGATGTTGTAATTGGTATGTGTCAGAATGATGTTGTAATTGGTATGTGTCCAAATGATGTTGTAATTGGTATGTGTCCAAATGATGTTGTAATTGGTATGTGTCCAAATGATGTTGTAATTGGTATGTGTCCAAATGATGTTGTAATTGGTATGTGTCAGAATGATGTTGTAATTGGTATGTGTCCAAATGATGTTGTAATTGGTATGTGTCAAAATGATGTTGTAATTGGTATGTGTCAGAATGATGTTGTAATTGGTATGTGTCCAAATGATGTTGTAATTGGTATGTGTCAGAATGATGTTGTAATTGGTATGTGTCCAAATGATGTTGTAATTGGTATGTGTCCAAATGATGTTGTAATTGGTATGTGTCCAAATGATGTTGTAATTTGTATGTGTCAGAATGATGTTGTAATTGGTATGTGTCCAAATGATGTTGTAATTGGTATGTGTCCAAATGATGTTGTAATTGGTATGTGTCAGAATGATGTTGTAATTGGTATGTGTCCATGTGATGTTGTAATTGGTATGTGTCCAAATGATGTTGTAATTGGTATGTGTCCAAATGATGTTGTAATTGGTATGTGTCCAAATGATGTTGTAATTGGTATGTGTCAGAATGATGTTGTAATTGGTATGTGTCCAAATGATGTTGTAATTGGTATGTGTCCAAATGATGTTGTAATTGGTATGTGTCTAAATGATGTTGTAATTGGTATGTGTCAGAATGATGTTGTAATTGGTATGTGTCTAAATGATGTTGTAATTGGTATGTGTCAGAATGATGTTGTAATTGGTATGTGTCTAAATGATGTTGTAATTGGTATGTGTCAGAATGATGTTGTAATTGGTATACGTACGAATGATCTTGTAATTGGTATGTGTCAGAATGATGTTGTAATTGGTATGTGTCTAAATGATGTTGTAATTGGTATGTGTCCAAATGATGTTGTAATTGGTATGTGTCCTAATGATGTTGTAATTGGTATGTGTCCAAATGATGTTGTAATTGGTATGTGTCCAAATGATGTTGTAATTGGTATGTGTCCAAATGATGTTGTAATTGGTATGTGTCCAAATGATGTTGTAATTGGTATGTGTCCAAATGATGTTGTAATTGGTATGTGTCCAAATGATGTTGTAATTGGTATGTGTCCAAATGATGTTGTAATTGGTATGTGTCCAAATGATGTTGTAATTGGTATGTGTCTAAATGATGTTGTAATTGGTATGTGTCAGAATGATGTTGTAATTGGTATGTGTCTAAATGATGTTGTAATTGGTATGTGTCAGAATGATGTTGTAATTGGTATGTGTCCGAATGATCTTGTAATTGGTATGTGTCAGAATGATGTTGTAATTGGTATGTGTCTAAATGATGTTGTAATTGGTATGTGTCCAAATGATGTTGTAATTGGTATGTGTCCAAATGATGTTGTAATTGGTATGTGCTACCGTGTGGTGCTATTGTGTGGTGCTATCGTGTGGTGCTATCGTGTGGTGCTATCGTGTGGTGCTAGCTTGTGGTGCTATCGAAGAAAAAGTGCTCATATATTTGTGGGAAAACACAATCCGTGTGGCCGTCTCAATCATCGATGGTCATCAAAGTGTCGTCCAGTTAATCGTTGAAGTACAATCTTGTGACGTCCAGTAAACCGTTGAAGTACTATTTTGTGACGTCCAATTAACCGTTGAAGTACAATTTTGTGACGTCCAGTTAATCGTTGAAGTACAATTTTGTGACGTCCAGTAAACCGTTGAAGTACAATCTTGTGACGTCCAGTTAACCGTTAAAGTACAATTTTGTGACGTCCAATTAACCGTTGAAGTACAATTTTGTGACGTCCAGTAAACCGTTGAAGTACAATCTTGTGACGTTCATTAAACTCAAAGTGCGGGTTGCCTTTACGTGACCTTGAATGTTCTAGTTGATTGGATCTAATTAAAGCAATTAGTAAACGTCAAAGGACCGACAAGACCAGTGACCATACAAACAATGTGACCAAGGTCAACACACCAAGGTCAACACACCAAGGTCAACATACAAAGGTCAACACGGCTGCGACACACCCAGCACACCACAGTTAACAAAAACCTTACAACTCATCCAGGTGTATTAACAAACACGTTTATTTTTTCATTTATTTTTCCAGTTATGTTAGTGATTTATGAACAAAAAAACGATAACATTTATACAGCCACACTTGTTTGTGGAATGTTTGACTAAATCACTGAAACAAAATGGCGGCCAAAACTTTTATTTGTAATAACTTTTACATTTTCATAATCTAATTAGAAAATCGATAAATAAGTTTACAAATCAATCCTTTCAGTGGCTATAAATATTGGCTTTAAAATCCGATCAATAAATGGCGGTCACAACTCTGAACCAAAATTATCTGCCCCCTTTTCAGTGGGCTCTCGGACATGTGAGTATTTAAACTCTGTTCACTAAGGCGCACCGCGGCCCACCACAGTTCACCACAGTTCACCACTGCCCACCACAGTTCACCACAGTTCACCACTGCCCACCACAGTTCACCACAGTTCACCACTGCCCACCACAGTTCACCACTGCCCACCAAAGTTTACAACTGCCCACCATAGTTTACCACTGCCCACCACTGCCCTCCAAAGTTTACAACTGCCCACCAAAGTTTACAACTGCCCACCAAAGTTTACCACTGCCCACCACGGCCCACCACGGCCCACCACTGCCCACCACTGCCCACCAAAGTTTACAACTGCCCACCAAAGTTTACAACTGCCCACCAAAGTTTACAACTGCCCACCATAGTTCACCACTGCCCACCACTGCCCACCACAGTTCACCACTGCCCACCACGGCCCACCACGGCCCACCACGGCCCACCACGGCCCACCACTGCCCACCACTGCCCACCAAAGTTTACAACTGCCCACCATAGTTCACCACTGCCCACCACTGCCCACCAAAGTTTACCACTGCCCACCACTGCCCACCACGGCCCACCAAAGTTTACCACTGCCCACCACAGTTCACCACTGCCCACCACTGCCCACCATAGTTCACCACTGCCCACCACTGCCCACCACGGCCCACCAAAGTTTACCACTGCCCACCAAAGTTTACCACTGCCCACCAAAGTTTACCACTGCCCACCACAGTTCACCACTGCCCACCACTGCCCACCATAGTTCACCACTGCCCACCACTGCCCACCAAAGTTCACCACTGCCCACCAAAGTTTACCACTGCCCACCACTGCCCACCAAAGTTTACCACTGCCCACCACTGCCCACCACGGCCCACCACTGCCCACCAAAGTTTACCACTGCCCACCACTGCCCACCACGGCCCACCACTGCCCACCACGGCCCACCAAAGTTTACCACTGCCCACCAAAGTTTACCACTGCCCACCACTGCCCACCACGGCCCACCACTGCCCACCAAAGTTTACAACTGCCCACCACGGCCCACCACTGCCCACCACTGCCCACCACTGCCCACCACGGCCCACCAAAGTTTACCACTGCCCACCAAAGTTTACCACTGCCCACCAAAGTTTACCACTGCCCACCACAGTTCACCACTGCCCACCACTGCCCACCATAGTTCACCACTGCCCACCACTGCCCACCACGGCCCACCAAAGTTTACCACTGCCCACCAAAGTTTACCACTGCCCACCAAAGTTTACCACTGCCCACCACAGTTCACCACTGCCCACCACTGCCCACCATAGTTCACCACTGCCCACCAAAGTTCACCACTGCCCACCAAAGTTTACCACTGCCCACCACTGCCCACCAAAGTTTACCACTGCCCACCACTGCCCACCACGGCCCACCACTGCCCACCAAAGTTTACCACTGCCCACCACTGCCCACCACGGCCCATCACAGTTAACATGAGTTTACCAAGCTGAGAGAGCGACCACTAAAACCTAATCGTGTTGTCGATTCGTTCATTATTGGATTTAGTCATCTTTTAATTAATCTTAACGTCGTATTTAATATCAAATCAGGTTTTTAGAAATTATAGATTCTTGCGTTGCAGTCAGTTACGAATACGTGTGTAACGAATCGCTTGATTTTAAGGGGAGAGAATTGAGTTACAAGAGTTGACACAAAACAGAGAAAGCTAAATTAAAGCTTAGAAAAATCAGGTGAAAAAATGTCGGCAGAAGGGTTAGAAAATCAGTTCAAATGTCGGTCGAAAGGTTGACAAAAATGTAAACAAAATTTCTATCTCATAATTAAACAAAAAGCGTTTAAATTAAATTCAAACTGTTTGTAAATAGTTTCATATTTTTATACAGCGATGGTACCAAAATATCGGGCAAACATTTTGTTTACTAATTTAACAAAATGTTTGCCAGATTTTTCGATCAAATAATTGAAACGAAATGGCGTCATAAAATCCCGCGTCAGACGTAGAGGCGAGTCAGTGCCGCGTCAGACGTAGAGGCGAGTCAGTGCCGCGTCAGACGTAGAGGCGAGTCAGTGCCGCGTCAGACGTAGAGGCGAGTCAGTGCCGCGTCAGACGTAGAGGCGAGTCAGTGCCACGTCAGACGTAGAGGCGAGTCAGTGCTGCGTCAGACGTAGAGGCGAGTCAGTGCCGCGTCAGACGTAGAGGCGAGTCAGTGCTGCGTCAGACGTAGAGGCGAGTCAGTGCCGCGTCAGACGTAGAGGCGAGTCAGTGCCGCATCAGACGTAGAGGCGAGTCAGTGAGCGGGGCCTCAAGATTCACAGAGACAGGGGGGGGGGGGGGGGGGCAATCAACGAGAAACCATCAAGATATTTACAGGAAACATTTTCTAACATCTATCTCCGCGTGTGTCCGGGCAGGACAATCTAATGTCCGCGTGTGTCCGGGCAGGACAATCAACTATACAAAATCATAAGTCAGACATATATACGACACACTGTGGATACCCAGGGTAAACGACACAGTGTTAAAAAAGAATTGCTAGACGCCACTGACAATAATAAATATATCAAGACAAGTGGAGTCCATGACTCAATATGTACACGCCACTAGTAGGTTTTCTGGTTTTATGACTTCTGACTCCCGAAGTCATGTAAACAGACCTGTATAATATTCTCCCTCTGTTAGAGACGCCGGGGTACTGGCGCCCCTCTGTGAGAGACGCCGGGGTACTGGCGCCCCTCTGTGAGAGACGCCGGGGTACTGGCGCCCCTCTGTGAGAGACGTCAAATACTGGCGCCCCTCTGTGAGACGCCTCGGCTACTGCTGTAGAAGGTTGTCAAAAAAAACACATGTTGTTGTATTGTAATTACAAACCGCTGGCTTATCTTTCATGAAAGGTTAATTAAGAATCGTTAATTGGTTGGTTGACCAGGTCAGTTGATTAGCTAATCGATTCAAGCAGTTTTCTCACGGGACGTTTGGCGGGAGTCACGCACATTGGTAGATCATAGTGGGCTCACACCTGCTATAGCACGTCCAGGTGAGATGACACCTGCTATAGCACGTCCAGGTGAGATGACACCTGCTATAGCAATATCCAGGTGAGATGACACCTGCTATAGCACACGTCCAGGTGAGATGACACCTGCTATAGCACGTCCAGGTGAGATGACACCTGCTATAACAATATCCAGGTGAGATGACACCTGCTATAGCACACGTCCAGGTGAGATGACACCTGCTATAGCACGTCCAGGTGAGATGACACCTGCTATAGCAATATCCAGGTGAGATGACACCTGCTATAGCAATATCCAGGTGAGATGACACCTGCTATAGCAATATCCAGGTGAGATGACACCTGCTATAGCACGTCCAGGTGAGATGACACCTGCTATAGCACATCCAGGTGAGATGACACCTGCTATAGCAATATCCAGGTGAGATGACACCTGCTATAGCACGTCCAGGTGAGATGACACCTGCTATAGCAATATCCAGGTGAGATGACACCTGCTATAGCAATATCCAGGTGAGATGACACCTGCTATAGCACGTCCAGGTGAGATGACACCTGCTATAGCACACGTCCAGGTGAGATGACACCTGCTATAGCAATATCCAGGTGAGACGACACCTGCTATAGCACGTCCAGGTGAGATGACACCTGCTATAGCACATCCAGGTGAGATGACACCTGCTATAGCAATATCCAGGTGAGATGACACCTGCTATAGCACACGTCCAGGTGAGATGACACCTGCTAAAGCACGAGCGTGCAGATTATGGGAGCTTCTGGACCTTACAGGTGATCACACCTGACTTTCAAGCAAGATGGGTACGGCTAACCAATTTCCGGTGTGCCCGTGTTGCTCTTGAAGCTCGATGTCACGTGTTGCGGGTAGGTCCAGAGGCTCCCTTGGCCGTCAGACCTGACTCTCCTCGCTGGTGGCCGACTTCTGGCCGTCCAGCCGCTTCCTGGAGCAGAAGAGGTGGTGGCTGTGGTCCAGGGTGGGCACCGTGCGGGGCCGGATGATCTTGGAGCAGAAGCAGCGCGTGACCATGGCCCGGAACCTGCGGCCCGTGGCGCAGTAGAGGATGAAGTTGACGGAGTGGTTGAGGTACATGAGCAGCGAGCTGACGGCCGTCATCAGCACGGCCTTGGTCTGAGTCAGCTGGCTGCCGTTGATGTTGACCCAGTAGGAGACGATGTTGGAGAGGTTCGAGGGCAGCGTGGTCAGCAGGAAGCTGAAGGAGATGGTCAGCAGCATGACGGTGATGCGGATGTTCCCCGCCTCGACGGGAGAAGAGTTTCTCTGGACCCGCCCCTGGACAAGCTGGGCCCTCGAGTTGTTGGCCTTGCAGATCTGAAACAAAAACAGGGGAAACAATCCATCAAAATACTTCTAGCTGTGTCTTAGCACTTTCTAAAAAACAAAAACAAATAATGAGATGCGGGGGTGATCTCGTCTAAACTTTCTCGTATATTCTAACATAACAGTAAAGGGGAGCCACTTCCAGTGCGATAGGGCTAATGAAATACAGAAGTGTGCGGAAAAACAATTTTTTTTTAGAAAGTGAAAATGTCTTACAATATATTGAGAGTATAAAATTCTGAAGGTCTTTGAGTAATCGGAAAAAAAGCGAAATACCCAATTATAAAGCACTAATTTTCCGCTCTATTATACACACTTTAAATAGAAAAGAATCGCAAAAAAAAGAAAGCGGGAGTGATCTCCCCTAAACTTTCTCGAATATTCTTATACAAACATAATTTTTAATCAATTTTTAATTACTTAGCCTTTTTAAAATAGAATAGAATCTGGTAGAAAACACGATTGCGCATCAAGTCAACAGCAAACAATGTGTGTATAATAGTGCGGAATATTTATTAGTACTTTTAAATTCATATTCGTTTTTTTAGCAATCGAATATAGAGCTGAAACACAACTTCCGGTCAACGGAAATTACTCAAATTAGAATTAGATATTTTTACTTATATGTAAAATTTCGTTTATTTATCTGAAACAGTACTTTTGAAAAACCAAAAGTAGAATCATTTCCACTTCCGGTTACCGGAAATCGCCGAAAAGTTGAAATAGAATTAAGCTTTTGATATAAAATATATATGAAATTTCATCAATCTAGCTGTTACGGTATTCAAGTTATCATTTTAACAGACAAGGCACTCATACATACATACATACATACACACAGACATACGGACTAAATTGCAAAACTATGTTTTTCCGACTCAGGGAGGTGTAAAACGTCGAGATTTTGTGTTTTTGTACGATTACAATACTTCCTCTATACTTCGTAAACGAGAAAGTAAAAATTGCGGGCCAAAATTAATTTTTTAAAAATGATCACATTCTTATAATTTTTGTGAAATCGGAAATCTCGTGCAGTATTACTTCCGGAAACCGGAAATCACTCAAAATTTAACAGTATCAAGAGCATAAAAAGTTTTACCCATTTATAAAATTTCGCTTACCAAACCGAAATGGTAATCGAGTTATTGGTATTTTTTAAAAAGAAAAATAGAGTTAAGTACCCTTCTTGTTATTGGAGGTCATTCAAAAATCGAAAGTAATCAGTTCATGATCTTATACTTATGTATGATCTTTCGTCAACTTAACTCAAACTACTCAAGTTATCATTTTTACACGGAAATATAGTAAAGTAATACTTCCAGTTACCGGAAACAGTTCACAAAATGACAGAAACCTGCGCTTAGAATCTAAAACTTAATGTGGAATCTCGTTGATATAACGTAAATGGTACGCAAGTTATCTGGTTTTGAGAAACTGGAAGTAGAGTGAGTACCACTTCACTTACTTAACATCGCTCAAAAGTTGAAAGAAAAAACCACCAATTTCGTATACTAATAGTATATCAAATTGCGTCAAGAAAACCGAAAATGCACTCAAGTTATCGTATTCACAGACAGACACGCAGACGTACAGACCAATTGCAAATACGTTTTTCCGACTCAAGTGATTTAAAATTCCAAGATGTCAAAATGTCGATTTTCAGCACGATTACAATACTCCTCTAGACGTTGTATGATTGACGTCTCAGGTATAATGTTTCTTTAGATTTTTTATTAAACAAATGTGGGAGAGAGAGGGGGGGGAGGGGGGAAGAGAGAGGGCGAGAGAGAGGGGAGGGAGAGAGAGAGAGGGGAGGGAGAGAGATGGGGAGGGAGAGGGGAGGGAGGGAGAGAGAGCGGGAGGGAGCGAGAGAGAGAGATGGGGAGGGAGAGGGGAGGGAGGGAGAGAGAGCGGGAGGGAGCGAGAGAGAGAGAGAGATGTTTTATGTATGTACGTCACAGAAGAATGTATTTCTCTGATGTTCTGACGTTCTATGTTCTGGTGTTCTGGTGTTGTATGTTCTATGTTCTGATGTTCTATGTTCCTATGTTTATTTATTCTGATGTTTTGATGTTCTAATGTTGTATGTTCTATGTTCTGATGTTCTAATGTTGTATGTTCTGATGTTCTGATGTTCGATGTTCTAATGTTCTAATGTTCTGATGTTCTGATGTTCTAATATTCTGCTGTTCTGGTGTTCTGGTATTTTATGTTCTGATGTTCGATTGTTTTGACGGCACACGTTAGTCAATCTACCTCCAATGTTCTGTTTACCAACCACACGTCACAGACTGGGGTGGGCGCCCCCCTACACCCCCCCCCCCCCCCACCGTGGAGCGGATCTAATATGAAGCCATCAAATTCTGTTCTGATTGTGAAATGTCTAATTGTTTCCATTTTTCCCTGTCCGTATTTTTGAAAATACAATTTGATTTCGTTCAGGTTGCAAAATGAACATCTGTTACATTGTTGTGGCTATAGCCTGCTCTTATTCTCCCCCCCCCCCCCCCCCGCCCCCGCCTAAGGTTTAACATTATCAAACATTTCTACACACATTTCTAACATTATTAAAAAAAATAGTTTTACAAAATTTCTTTTATTGCGAGAGATTTTTGAATCAATAATTTAGAGTTATTTTTTTGTACTGAACAGTGAGCAATAAATGTTAGCTTTGTGAATTGGGTTGGACTAGACGACATAGCGCCATTTGTGTTCTCAAATTGATTACGTGATTTCAAATGGAAAACCTCAAATTTAAAATCACGAGTTTGTATTTTTAAAGTCATCATTTGACTTGACACATTCGGTAAGTCATAAGTTGACTTGACACATTCGGTAAGTCAATAATTAAATGAGAGAAGGTGGAGTTTTGAGGGTTGAATTAGAGAGGGGGTGGAGTTTTGGGAGTTGAATGAGAGGGGCGGAGTTATAGGAGTTGAATGAGAGGGGGTGGAGTTTTGGGAGTTGAATTGGAGGGGCGGAGTTTTGGGAGTTGAATAAGAGAAGGCGGAGTTATAGGAGTTGAATGAGAGGGGGTGGAGTTTGGGGAGTTGAATGAGAGGGGCGGAGTTATAGGAGTTGAATGAGAGGGGGTGGAGTTTTGGGAGTTGAATTGGAGGGGCGGAGTTTTGGGAGTTGAATAAGAGAAGGCGGAGTTATAGGAGTTGAATGAGAGGGGGTGGAGTTTGGGGAGTTGAATGAGAGGGGCGGAGTTATAGGAGTTAAATGAGAGGAGGTGGAGTTTTGGGATTTGAATGCGAGGGGTGGAGTTTTGGGAGTTGATTGAGAGGGGCGGAGTTTTGGGATTCGAATTAGAGGGGGTGGAGTTTTGGGATTTGAATGCGAGCGGGTGGAGTTTTGGGAGTTGAATGAGAGAAGGTGGAGTTTTCGAAGTTGAATTAGACGGGTGGAGGTTTGGGATTTGAATGAGAGGAGTTTTGAGAGTTGAATAGGAGGGGGGGGGGAGTTTTGGGAGTTGATAAGGAGGGGCTGGAGTTTGGGGAGTTGAAGAGAGGGGCGGAGTTTCGACAGTTGAATGAGAGGGGGTGGAGTTTTGGGAGTTGAAGAGAGGGGCGGAGTTTTGACAGTTGAATGAGAGAAGGCGGAGTTTTCGGAGTTGAATGAGCTCATTGCATTATGACCCTCATGACGAGATGTGCCGGATGTTCGTCACTCTGACCTCTGACCTCTGACCTCTGACCTCTGACCTGATTCAGCTCGGGACAGATTTGCATTGCGTGGGGGAAATTAAAGATAATCAGAATACTAAGAGGGGGAGGGGGAGCAGGGTGGGGGGGGGGGTGGGAGACACTACAATCTATTCTTGGTTGCGGTTGTTTATTACGATGGTCCCAATGTTGGCCGTCTAAGGGTGGCCGCACTTTCAACGGGTGATGTAAAGCGGCAGTTGAATGAACAGGTGATGTAAAGCAGCAGTTGAATGAACGGGTGATGTAAAGCGGCAGTTGAATGAACGGGTGATGTAAAGCGGCAGTTGAATGAACGGGTGATGTAAAGCGGCAGTTGAATGAACGGGTGATGTAAAGCGGCAGTTGAATGCACATAAGGTCACCCTTGAGACTTGCCACGGATGACGTTTGGCTGACCACATACATCGTTGGTTATATTCATAATGGCCAAGTTTTTGTTGGCCGTATAATTTGTAGGCCACATTCTAAAACTACTTCCCTTACCTTGTATAAAACTAATCCACCCCTTCTATCCACTGGGCCCCCTGTATCCTCTGGGCCCCCCTGTATCCACTGGGCCCCCTATATCCACTGCCCCCCTGTATCCACTGGGCCCCTATATCCACTGCCCCCCTGTATTCACTGGGCCCCCTGTATCCACTGCCCCCTGTATCCACTGGGCGCCCCCCCCTGTATCCACTGCCCCCCTGTATTCACTGGGCCCCCTGTATCCACTGCCCCCTGTATCCACTGGGCGCCCCCCCCCCCTGTATCCACTGCCCCCCTGTATCCACCGGGCCTCCCTGTATCCACTGCCCCCCTGTATCCACTGGGCCCCCTGTATCCACTGGGCCCCCTGTATCCACTGCTCCCCTGTATCCACTGGGCCCCCTGTATCCACTGGGCCCCCTCTATCCACTGGGCCCCCTGTATCCACTGGGCCCCCTGTATCCACTGGGCCCCCTCTATCCACTGGGCCCCCTGTATCCACTGGGCCCCCTCTATCCACTGGGCCCCCTGTATCCACCGGGCCTCCCTGTATCCACTGCCCCCCTGTATCCACTGGGCCCCCTGTATCCACTGGGCCCCCTGTATCCACTGGGCCCCCTGTATCCACTGGGCCCCCTGTATTCACTGGGCCCCCTGTATTCACTGGGCCCCCTGTATCCACTGGGCCCCCTGTATCCACTGGGCCCCCTCTATCCACTGCCCCCCCTGTATCCACTGGGCCCCCTGTATCCACTGGGCCCCCTGTATCCACTGGGCCCCTCTATTGATGGAGTGTGGGGACTGACCTCTAGG